TTGCCTTGTCTAGCCATCTTCGTTACATCTGGTCAGTCAATGCTAGTTGTCCTCGTCGTCGCCAGCATCATTAGCATTGTCGCCGTTACGGTCGTTCTCGTCGTCCTCTTCAGGCTGACATTAGAGACAGCGACACCGCGTGATGGGTCTGCGAACAGTTAGAATAGTGGCAAGACGTGCTCGTCCGTCTCTCGTCGAATGTCGGTGTGTTTAGACCTGGCGATCTCGTTCGCGGGTTAAGCGGTAGTGCGTCACAGTTGAAGGGACACACGGCAGGCTGATACGACACGGTTCGGTTCAGTTCGGTTTGGCTCGGCTCGGCTCGGCCCAGACCAGCCCAGCTTGGCCTGGCTCAGTCGCTTTCAGCATCGATCGAAGCCAGTCTGCTCGGCCTGGCGATCGATAGACGAGTCCTCGCAAGCCTCCGTCTACGCGTCGCCTTTCTCGGGCCGCCTTAGCCTCTCCGCTGCGTCCAGCCGCGTCTCTGTCGCCTCTGTCCCCGTGGCTCGGGTGGGTCTGTCTGTCTGTCTGTCTGTTGTCTGTCTATCTGGCTGACTGGCTGCGGACTCACTGTCGCGCTCAGCTTTACGCGCCTCGACGCGGCCTGGGCCAGCGGTCCGGCGCAGACGTGATGCAGAGTGAGAAGGCGGGGCTGCGGCAACCGCTTCGCCGACCGGCCCACGCGTCTCCGTGTTGCGCACACGGCATCGAGAAGGCAGACAGACACACAGACAGACAGACAAACAGTCTCCATCTCCATTGCTGGACGTATGTCTTTCATCTAGACCGCGTCAGGTTGATGGTATTTCATGCTGCCAACGCCCCCGCTGCCTAGCTCGCGTCTGATTGGGCGATTTGGCGACTGGCTTTAATGAACTCACGCGAGATTGGCCAATCAGCAGTCGGCATGCTCAGGATGACTGCAGCCGAGTGAAAAACGCCTTGGTCAAGCAGAAACCTCCTTTCCACCGCCTCCCGTCCACATGCCCCTTCGCCCGGCCACCGTTCTCGCCACATGATCGCCAGGCGAGATCTCGCCTCACCGTTTACCCTTCCATCAGCTTCCGGCAGGCCGTCGCGCTTACGTCACCCGTCGTCACGGCCCGCGGTCCTCCTCGTTCGGCTCCACTGACGCCGACTCGAGCCCCTCCTCCCTCGCGCTCCGAGTCCCGCCTCGGCCCGGCATGCCGGACCCTCGGCTGGTTGTGGACGTCTTCGCGCCTAGCCTCTTCCTTGTCCACAACTGTCCGTCGGCAAGTGCGCCGTCGCCGTGGCGACAGACGGACCTATGAAGTGGCTCACAGCAATGGTAAAGTCGCCCAGACGCCAGCACCGTCGGCGAGGCGATAGGACTACGCCGCCTCTGATTGGCTCCTCGGCATGTCGGGCCGGGCACCGCCAGCCTCTTCTCTCCGCCTCCACCCCCGCCCTCGCCCTCGCCCCTGCCCCCATCGCCGAGGCCGAGTGGATTTAGCCCCCAGCCTCAGACCCGCCTCGGACACCGCCACTGCCGCCCTCGGGCCACTGTGATTCACATTAATCTACACCTTTCGCTCCATTTCCGTGACCCTATTCGTCCGTCCGTCCGTCCGTGTGTGTGTGTGTGTACCCAAATTTGAGCTCGGATTTTTTATTTCCCCTCCCCTCCTATCTCTCTCTCTCTCTCTCTCTATCCATCTATATCTCTCTCTTGTTCTCAGTCATTTGTATTCGCGCGCTTATCCATGCGTCCGCATAATGACGACCCGTCGTCTGATCTCTTGCAGACTACAACCGCTGTCTCCAGGTCGGCGGGTATGCGGTCGGCTCGTGTTCCGGCGAGTCGGCTGACGTCTGTCATCTGCTCGTCCAGCAGCCGGCGCCCGTCCCGGCCACGGCGGCACCGGCATCCGCGCCGCCCGCTCCGCCGGCGCTACCGGTTTCTGGCCGGCCGGACGCAGGACGCGATCGGACCACGCCACCGCCACCGCCGCCGCCGCCGCCGCCCCTCCTCCCTCTCGGACCGGGCGCCGCCCAAGTGCTGAGAGGTCCGGCCGGCTGGCCGACGGACGCGTCTCCGAGGCCCGGCACTCGGGCGATGCGGCAGGACAGATCCGGCGCTAGGCGACTGGCCGAGGCGGTTGGGCAACCGAGGGAGGCGGAACTGGTGCTCGCGGGACGAGGTGAGCCAGGCTTTGACACACTTCCGCCCCACTCGGCCCGTCTGCCGGGAGGGACGACGGGAACCGGTTGCCTTCTGCTCCGCCCCGTCGCCATGGCCACTGCGACCGGCATGACACGAGCAGGCAAAGACAGGGTGTCTCAGTGCGCGAAGACTGGTTGGATAGGCCTCATTTCACGCGGAAGGTGACCGGCGCGGGATCGCTAGCTCGGCCTCTCCTCGGACCGACGAGGGAGTGTCGCTTTGGCGCTGTGACTGTTGGATTGCGAGAAGAAGACCTCGACTCGAGGCCCTCTCAGTTTCGGCTAATGTAGCAAGACAATTCGCCAAATCCCACCTACTTCTGGTAGGCAAATGTGTCATCTCCAACCGTCACAACGCCAAAGCCGCCCTCTCTCGGTCTGTGCGCCGGCCAATTTAAGCACCCTCTCCACTCAAGTTTGCTTTTCACATCGCCCCAGACACACGTCAGCACCAAGCTTTCACAGAAGGCTTCTCAACCCAGCCTGGCTTCGTGTACTGACACCGCTTTTCCATGCTCTGTCAATGGTCGCGGCGGCGGACACATTTGAAGAATGGTCTCGTCTTCTGTCCACTCTGTTGACGGCTCCACAGACACTCTGTGGCTGGTCTACGAGCTGTATGCATCCTATTCTCTTTCCATTCCACTTCACACAGCCTTGCAGCCCAAAAGGCATTCCCCTTTGCGAAGGAAGGCTATGCGAAATTCGACGGAAGCTTGAGACCTACTCACGTCATTGTGAAGAGATTCAACAGCCCAACGAAATAAGGCGAATACAGCTCTTGTGTCAAATTGACTGGTAGTCTCTAAGGCTAAATTATAATCAGCAAACGAGTGTAACACGGTTGGCGCATCCACGCACTAGCGGTTCCGAGTGAAGCCAAACGGAGGGTCCCCCGTAAATGTGAGGATGAGGAGGAGATGGGAAAAAGGAGATTAGGTTTCTCAATAAATGCCTACGGACGTAAGGACCACGGTTCTATCATATGAATCTCCGAATATGACGTTAAAATGGTCCGACCTCAATTTGACAAGTTACATTCCGGCTTCTGTCCCGAGACCTGTGGAAAAGAAGGGCGTTGGGTTGAAGTCGGACTAATATCGCATGTACAAAGCTGGTTGGTCGTTTGTTTGTGTTTTCGAAATCAACCGAAAAGAGAACAACCGAAACAGCTTGCTACAGTTTGGCAGGCAACCGGAAGGGCCAACGCAAAGTAGTGGCGTTGAGTTGAAGTCGTTCTCGCGGAAAAGACACTTTGACTTGTGCCGAAAAG